GGGTGCTGGGAACTGAACTCAGGTCCTCCGTGGGAGCAGTGCAACACTCTTAACCACTGATCCGTCTCTCTAGTCCTTGCCCCGGCCTCCCAGGTGCCAGGACCACAGGTCTGAGCCACGGGGACCAAGGTTTGTTTGTTTGCTTTTCTATCTGTTTGTCTATGTGTTTATCTATGCAGGGTCTCTCCTGTTACCCAGGCTGGCCGCATCCTCTTAGGCTCAAGGGATCCTCCTGCCTCAGTCAAGTCAGGACCTCCATGCTGCCTAAAATGTGGTTTTTAAAAACAAGGAAAAGAAAGCGAAGGGGTGATGGTTCAGGTTCTAGGTTGCATTCATGCCTGTGTCTTTTTTTTTTTTTTAAGCTCCAAAGGGAAGAGGAAGGCTATGATGAAGGGCAAGAGTTCTCACCCCCCAACCCCCACATGACGAAGCTTAGAGAGGCCAGGAGTTTGAACTCCACATTGTTCTACTCCAGGGCCCATGGCATGCATACTCATCCCAGCTGCACGAAGATTTGAGTGCCACCTGCAAGGCCGAGTTCCTAAGTTCACTTTGGCATTGGGGCTGCAAACGCATTTATCAGGAGTTATCCCAACTTGATCATGACTCCTGGTCACAAGAGGCTGAGGTGCTGGCGTGGGAAGACCTTCCCTTCCCTCAGCCTCAGAGCCTGTCTCTGCTCCTTGGTGTGTGCCCAGGAGTGTGGCCATGTTCTAGAACTGTCTAGGATGGCTGCCGCAGTGGGCCCTCACTCCCAAGCCTGCCACAGCCAAGAAGCCGGCTGAACTAGCTACAGTTCTTATTATGACCACCAGGTGGCGCTCCAGTCCCGCTGGTCCAAACTACGCAGGCGACTAGGCGTCTTGTGTAAACTGGGTACCCTGGGCATGATCAGCTTCTAAAAGCACCAAAGCTGTGCCCGGCTGAATTTGGGAACTGGCCTAGCAGAAATCCCTTGGGGCTCGGCTGGTAGTGTTTGCCTAGCATGCTTGAAGCCCTGAGCTTGATCCCCAGCACCTCATAACCCTGGCGAGGTTGTACACGTGGGAGGTGAAGACTGGAGGACCGGAAGTTCAAGGTCATCCTCCGCAACATAAGGTGCTCCAGGCAAGCTACATGAGATCCTGTCTTTAAAACAACAAAAACCTCGGGCTGACGATTTGAAGATACAACGCCACTTATCCTGTTGGTCTAGGGCAATGCATGGGCTCCTCTTCCCTCACATCTGGGTCCTCTCTAGATGCTCCTGCTGGATAATGGAGAGAAGGGAACATCATGTCCACTCAAGGGAGGGACAAGCTAAAAGTCAAACCGACCCAGGTCTGTCCAAGTTTCAGGGCTAGTCAGAAAGGCTGTGAAAATATCTCCCCGGAAGAGGGTTTTCCATAGCGTTCTTCCAATCTCTGTCTTCTGGGTTTGGGGGCCATTGCTTGCGTCTACAGGGGTGTCTAGCAGCATGGGTGTCGATGCTAACGTTTGTAACTATGGCGGAGTATGTGTGTCAGGGGACAGAGGGTTTCCTGGCATGTGCAGGAACCCGGTGGGTCTGTGAGTCAGAGTGTGAATGAATACCGTGTATGTGTGTCCGTGGGCTTACGGACATTTCTGGAGGGCTACCAATGTGCATTTGTATGGGGACCTGCCATTTGTGCCTGTGTCTGTGTCTGTGTAGGTTAGGCGTGTGTGTGTGTGTGTGTGTGTGTGTGTGTGTGTGTGTGTGTGTGTGCCAGTGACATGAGATACAGCGTCACCAACGGCAACTGATGTCTGTGAAGTCCTTAGTCCCATGTCTAATCCGCCCCGCCTGTTGTGAAGGTACACTCCCTTTTCCTACTTGGGACTCCAGTATCGTCTCTAAAGCCCACTGAGCTCCAGGCCCTGTGAGGGAGGCTGAGCATAGTCCCTAGGTGAAACTGCCGCCCACGGATGCTTTTCTTTTTAACCTCAAGTGGCTGTGGACAACAGCAAGGACCACCCCTGAGCTCTCCCCCTCACCTGGTCATTCCGGACACCTCCAGCCCCCACCAGGCTCACTCCTCCAGGTGGGGTCCATATTTTCCCTTTCTGTCAACACATCAGTGGGACTTTCTTCTGGACAGGATGTGAGCTAGCTGTAAGGGAACAAGCCTTGTCCACGACCAACATCAAAAGGGACTATAGCAAGACCACAGTGGGAACCAGGCAGCTTATGTCACTACTCACTTTCAGAACACAGCAGGGAAGGAAAAGAGAGGTGGGTATACAAGGGCTCGTCATGGAGCCCCTGCTAGAACCCCCCAGTGAGGGGCTGGGGGTGTGGCTCAGTGGTAGAACCCCTGCCTAGAATCCCCCAGTGAGGGGCTGGGGTGTGGCTCAGTGGTAGAACCCCTGCCTAGAATCCCCCAGTGAGGGACTGGGGGTGTGGCTCAGTGGTAGAGCCCCTGCCTAGAATCCCCCAGTGAGGGGCTGGGGGTGTGGCTCAGTGGTAGAGCCCCTGCCTAGAATCCCCCAGTGAGGGGCTGGGGGTGTGGCTCAGTGGTAGAGCCCCTGCCTAGAATCCCCCAGTGAGGGCTGGGGGTGTGGCTCAGTGGTAAGAGCCCCTGCCTAACATGGGAGCCACACTCCAGCCTCTCACTGGGGCATTCCAGGCAGCAGCTCCATGATGAGCCCTTGTATACCCAACTTTCTTTTCCTTCCCTGCTGTGTTGTCTTGTCTCCCCAGATATCTCTCCATAGGGGAAAAAAAAAAGAAGAAAGAGGGTCAGAGCTGCTGGGACATAATTCTTCAGTCACAAGCACTGCACTGCTCTTTCCCACTAATGCTCTTTTCTCCGGCTCACTTTTACCAAGGCTGTGTGTGCACACTTGTTCTCTCGCACAGCTAGTGGTTATAGGCTGCCAACCACCACAGGGAGATGCCCGCACCTTCCTTCCACCCCTGCAGGTCCTCGGCAGCCCAGTGTCTGGTTATAAGAAGCGGTTATGGGCTGGAGAGATGACTCAGGGGTTAAGAGCACTGGCTGTTCTTCCAGAGGTCCTGAGTTCAATTCCCAGCAACCACATGGGAGCTCACAACCATCTGTAATGAGATCTGGCGCCCTCTTCTGGCCTGCAGGCACAACACTGCATACAAAATAAATAAATCAATCTTTAAAAAAAAAAAAAAAGAGGCAGTGTGTAGACTGCTTCACTCTTTGAGCATGCTTCTGTTCTAACTGTTAACCCATCCCTCAGATGTTTGGAGCTCGGTCGAAACAGGTTGAAGGGGGTGGTGAGGCAGCTGGACAGGAAAAGACGATTGCTGCCATGCCTGACTGGTCCCCAGAATCCACATGGTAGGAGAGAACAGATCCCAGCCAGGCGTCTTCTGACTTCCACGGGCATAGCGTAGAAACAGATCGAGAGCAACAGTGACGAGGACAGGAGGCTGAGCCGGGCGGCATGAGAGAAGCAAGACAGACTCCATTTTAAGAAAGGACTCCATTGTAAACAGGACTTGACCAAGGTCTGGTTCCAGTAAAAACCACAAACAGAGGCTGGGGGAGGTGGGAGGAGGGAAGAAGGGGATCTTTGATTGGTGTGTAAAATGAATGAAAACTTTTTCTTAAAAAAAAAAAAGTTTACAAATCCACAAACAGTTCCAACAAAAATCACAGACTGCCAGGGCCCCCGTCAAAGTGGCCCCACCAGGGTGGGCTGGCCAAGGAGGAACTTTGGGAAACAACATCTGCCTGCTGGCGCCAAATGTCCTTGTGCCTCCTGATAACCATTGTTGAAAATTCCTCCAGACCCCAACCAGTGAATTCAAAACCCAATCCTGAGATGCCAAGGCTTGTACCTCCCCGCCTGCGGTTTTTCCCTTTAAAACCCCCAAACCCCAAGACTCAGGACCGATCTCCTCCACACGCCATGTCGGAATACTGGATGAGGGTCCGAGCTTGAGCTGGTAATCAATAAAGCCCTGTGTATTTGCATTGGATATTGGCTCTGTGGTGGTCTTGTTCAGGGGGGGTCTCACGATGCGGGCACTACAGGCACATACTTGCAATCCCAGCATTCAGGAGACAGAAGCAGGAGGATCATACATTTGAGGTTCTAGAAGGAGACCCTGTCTCAGAAAATAGACAAGAGGAAGACCTCTTCACATTCAAGGGCCACACAGCCATCTCAGGTTAAATCATATCTACAACATCAGGGGTCCTGGACTCAATGTTTTGAGTACATTTCCTGGAGGCCTTCCCCCCCCCCCTTTGGTTTATCAAGACAGGGTTTCTTCTCTGTGTAGCCCCGGCTGTCCTGGAACTCGCTCTGTAGAGCAGGCTGGCCTTGAACTCAGAGATTCACTTACTTCTGTCTCCTGAGTACTGGACATAAAAGCATGTGCCGTCACCACCTGGTTTTAAATTAATTTTCAATTATTACTTTGTGTCTGGGTGTTTGGACTGCACGTATGTCTAGGTATCATGCGCATGCCTGGTGACTGAAGACCAGAAGAGGAAGTTACACATGGTTGTGAGCCACCACATGGGTGCTGAAAATCGAACCCAGGTCCTCTGCAAGGGCAGCCAGTGCTGCTACCCACTGAGCCATCTCTCCTGCACCCCACTCCTTGTGGTTTTTCTGTGCCTTGTCACCAAGATCAGTGTGGTATGTGAAGCCCACAGGCCCTGCACCCTCCAACCCTCCAGCACTTCGCAGCCCAAATATGGCAGGCAAAGTGATAACTTAAACACAGGGTCATCATCGTTGAGGAGCCAGCCAAATCAGCCCAACGTTGTCCGTGGCCAACTCAGAAACAAGAAACCACCTTGGTGAGAACGAGTGTTTCTCAACCTGTCGATCACCACCCCTCTGGGAGTCAGACAATCCCTTCACAGGGACCGCAGATCAGACATTCACGTTGCGATTCATAACAGTAACAAAATTACAGTTATGCAATGAAAATAATTTTATGGCTGGGGGTCACCCCAACATGAGGAACTGTACTAAAGGGTCACCGCAGCATGAGGAAGGCTGAGAACCACTGTTGTAAACATTTTTATTTGTGTATCAACTTGAGCCCTCTCTTTAAGTGCAAAGGGGCTGTCCATCAAAGTAGACAGAAGACAGTGGACAGAACCCCTCCTCTGTCCATTTCCCTTTGCCAGGCTGTGAGCACTTAAGATACATAGCGAGAAGTTAAAACACCATCCGGGCAAGCAGGCCCCATGGACTTCTTTCTTTACATTCTTTGAGATGCTATATTCAGTATTTAGAAAAATCAACGTATTAAAAAATCAAGTGTGTCTACAGCTATACCACCCTAAAAATGAATGGTCTCATCAGACTAAAAACAGGATCATAAAGAGGGTCATGGTAGGCAGGCTTGGTGGTATGTGCCTTTAGTCCTAGCAAAGGCAGGCAGATCTCTGTGAGCTCAAGGCCAGCCTGGTCTACATAGTGAGTTCCAGGCCAGCCAGGACTACACAGAGAAACCCCTCTTAAACAAAACAAAAACAAGAGAAGAGGGTCACTAGAGCCAGATGTAGCAGAACACACCTGCAATCCTGGTGCTTGGAATACTAAGGCAGGGGCGTACTGTGAGTTTGAGACCAATTATAGATGGAGTACCAGGCTGGCGGGACTGCATAGAAAAACTGTCTCAAAAAGAAGGGGGGAGGAAGAAGGTGGAGAAGGGGGAGAAAAGTGGAGGTAAAGGTGTGGGAGGGGCTGCCTGCCTCTGCAGCCTCCATTTTCAAACACGGAAGTAGAAGGAGCCTGCAAGGGAGGGAGGCACCCTATCAGCTCCCCCAGGGCAGGCCTGGTGCAGGGTCCTGCGGCTCCCCTCACAGCTGTTCCTCTTGCTCTCTGTGTTCCATCTCTGCTCTAGCCTCAGCCCTCAACACCCTGAGGCTCCTAGCCTCACCTGCCCTGGGGACTCTCTTGGGCAGGGTTGGCACCCGGGGAGTGTGCCAGAAAGCCCTCCTGCGCTTGCGGAACCAGGAGAAACGTCCTGGGGTCTGGAACCTCACTGTCTTTACCTGTTTCCGGACCCTAGATCCCGAGACTGTTCCTAGGGTAATGGAGCCAGCTGAGGCTTCCGCTAGAGCCTGAGGTCCAGCCTCCTCCCTCTGGTCATGGAGGACTTCTGCCCTCTGGTCTGCCGGGGCCTCCACCCTCTGATTTTCTGCAGCTCCAGCCCCTTGGTTAGCTGGGTCCTCTGGCCTCTGACTATCTATGGCTTCTGCCCTCCGGTCAGGTAGGGCTTCTGTCTTCTGATTAGCTGCAGCTTCAAACTCATGGTTATCGGGGACCTCTGCTCTCGGATTAGGTGCAGCCTCTGCCCTCAGATTAGCTGCCGCCTCTGCCCTCATACTAGCTGCAGCCTGTGCCCTCGGGTTAGCTGCAGCCTGTGCCCTCGGGTTAGCTGCAGCCTCTGCCCTCGGGTTAGGTGCAGCCTCTGCCCTCAGGTTAGGTGCAGCCTCTGCCCTTGGATTAGCTGCAGCCTCTGCCCTCGGGTTAGCTGCAGGCTCTGCCCTCATTCTAGCTGCAGCCTTTGCCCTCGGGTTAGCTGCAGCCTGTGCCCTCGGGTTAGCTGCAGCCTCTGCCCTCGGGTTAGGTGCAGCCTCTGCCCTCAGGTTAGGTGCAGCCTCTGCCCTCAGATTAGCTGCAGCCTCTGCTCTCGGGTTAGCTGCAGCCTCTGCCCTCGGGTTAGCTGCAGCCTCTGCCCTCGGGTTAGCTGCAGCCTCTGCCCTCGGGTTAGCTGCAGCCTCTGCCCTCGGGTTAGGTGCAGCCTCTGCCCTCGGGTTAGCTGCAGCCTCTGCCCTCGGGTTAGCTGCAGCCTCTGCCCTTGGATTAGCTGCAGCCTCTGCCCTCGGATTAGCTGCAGCCTCTGCTCCACGTTCAGCTGGAACCTCTGCCCCCTGGTTCTCGGCAGCCTCTGGGGGCCCCTCAGCTCTCTCCTGAGCTGGGGGTGGCGCCTGCTCCCTCCTGCACCTCCTCAAGGAGACCCACTTGATCTTGGGCTTCCAGCGTCTGGTACCCAGTGTCTGGTCGCTCCCATCTCCTGCGTTTCTGGAGCTGTCGTCCCGGCTGGTGTGGCTGCGTCTCAATTCTCCAGCCCTTTCAGCTGCGATGGAGGCCTGCTGGGCCTCGCCCACCTCGGAGCCTGATCTGGGCGCCCAGCCCTTCACCCTCTGTTTCAGCTTCCCCCAGGACACCTGGCTGACATACTCCCGCCATCTGTCGGCCTTGGACGGCCGGGGCGCCAGGTTGTCCTCAAACATGGGCACTGGCAGATTGACTCGGCGACGTGGAGGAGGCGCGCTGGGTTTCTTCTCCCCACGGCGGAGGAAGGCCTCTATCAGCTCCTGATCATCCTCGCTCTCCACGTCGCTGCCCAGGAATTTGCTGCCCAGGTAACTGACCGGCATTTTGCGCACCTTTCTGGTCCTCTGGGAGCCCCTGTTGCCTTTGACTTTGGAGGTCTCAAAGTCACTCAACTCGCTGTCGCTGGCATTGCTGCTGTCATAGGTGCCTACGACCAGCCGAGGTGGAGGAGTGACCATCTGTGGGACTCGCCTCACTCGGGGCTCCTTGGCCTTTTTGGGGGGCTGGGGTGGGTGTGGAGTGCTCTTTTCGATGATTCGGGCCACGTCTTCCAGGGTGCGGCCCTCCTCCTGCAGAAACTGCATCAGCCGCTCCCGAAACTCAGCTTCCTTGGTGGCGGGCTTGGAGATGACTCTCCACACGCCCCCAGCCAGCCGGACCTCCCGGGGAATGAGCAGATAGTCAACATCCTCCCCAATCTGCAGCATTCCCACCGTGGAGTCCTCCTCTTTGCGGAACACCTTCCCGATCTTCTTAAAGGTGCCTACGGGCCTTAAGGCCTCCACTAACACGTCCAGATCGACATCTTTGCAGACATCAGGGACACTCCAGAGGATCAGGCAATCGGGGGAGGGGAGGAAACCCCAGGGGAACCAGCCCCCCACGTGGCTTTTCTCGAGAGTCTTTAAGATCTCCAGAGTGGACTCTGGGGTGGGGGGCAAGAAGCCCAAACAAACAAAAACAAAAACAAACCTCTAAGCTTCTAGTCTTGGGGAGGAGGCAGGGGAGAGTCCCAGCAACTCTGCTCATGCAGGGTGTCACCTCCCTGAAATTTTCTCCGCAGGCGACAAGTCCAAGTTGGGTCCCCCCCACCCCCTCGGAGTTACAGCGAGCGATTTTCCAAGATGCTTACGTGAACTGAGGCGCCGTCAGTTCCGAGGCTCAAAGCTCAGTCCAAACTGGAAACGCCAGTGTCCCGGCTCCAGGCTGGGGACGCACGGCTCCGATCGCTTCTCCCTCGGCCCCGACACCCCGAGTGCCTCTGAAAGTTTGTGGAAGGACTCTGCAGACAAAGGCGGATCAGCGTGGCCGTTCAATATGGCGAGGCGCTTAAAGGCCTCCGCCCAGCCCCGAGGAGGGTCTCCCGCCCCTAGGCAGGCTGCCACCCGCTCTAGGCTGACCTCGCTCGCAGTCTGCGGCGGAGCTGAGAGCTGCAGGAAGTTTCTGGGCGCCCTCCCCTCCTGGGTGAGGCCCACCTTCTCCTTCTCATCTTACACTCTCAGTCTGGGAAGACTGGCAGCGGAGCTGTCCACTCCTTTCAGGGCAGGCTCCCTCTCCTCCCCACAGAGGTGTGGCCGCCCCCCAGGGCCTCTCTGGGACCAGGGCTTCCCATCTCAGTTGCCAAACCCCACGTCATCATCTTCCCCCCCCCCCCCCGCCCCCACCAAAAGACAGTGGGTCTCCAACCTGCCATCCTCGACGTGCAAGGCTAAGAGGTGCATATCTTTTGAAGACCATTGCAGTTACCGGGATAGGACCAGAGAGATGGCTCGCTCAATGGTTAAGAGCATAGGTTGCTCTTGCAGAGGACCTGGTTTGAGTCCCAGGGCCCACATGACGGCTCACAACCCTCTGTAACTAACTCCAGGTCCCGAGGATCCAACACCCTCTTCTGATCTCTGTGGGCACTGCACACACGTGGTGCACATACATACATGCAGGCAAGACATTCGTGCACATAAAAAAGGGACCCGCAAGATAACTCAGTGGGTAAAAACATTTGCCATGCAAGCCTGACGACCTGAATTCAATCCCTGATACCCACATAAAACCAACTCTACCCGAGCTCTACACACACACACACACACACACACACACACACGCTCACACACGCCCACACATAGATTACACATATGCAAATGCATAACACAATGATAAAAAAATTTTTAAAGATTTATTTATTTATTATGTACACAGAAGAGGGCACCAGATCACATTACAGATGGTTGTAAGTCACCATGTGGGTGCTGGGAATTGAACTCAGGACCTCTGGAAGAGAAGTTGGTGCTCTTAACCTCTGAGCCATCTCTCCAGCCCCCAAAATTTTATTTTCTTAAAAATAAAAATACATCTTTAAGATCGCAGAGATGCTGTGGTACCCTTAGTTCTTAACTTACTGTGTGTCCCACGTGGCCTCAAACTTTCAGTGATCCTCCTGCCTCAGCCTCTGAGTACTGGCCTTATGGGCATGGGCCACCATACCAGGATTAAAGATAATGTTTTCAACTACAACAAAAGCCAATTGAAGAAGTGACTTGAGGGGCTGGAGAGATGGCCCAGCAGGTAAGAATACTGGCTGTTCTTCCAAAGGACATGGCAGCTCACAACTGTCTGTAACTCCAGTTCCCAGAGACCTGACACCCTCACACAGATGTGCATGCAGGCAAAACACCAATGCACATAAAAATTTAAAAAAAAAATCCTTAAAAAAAAGTGACTTTAATACCGATATAAAAACCTACATCAGACATGAGGTGTGTACTTGTGATCCCAGTACTTGGAGGCAGGAAGATCAAGAGGGTAAGGTCATTCTCAGCTACAAAGAGAGTTCAAAGCCAGCCTGGGCTACAAGAGACCCGGTCTCAAAAAACAACAATCTCAGGGGCTAGAGAGATGACTCCGTGGTTAAGGGCACTGGCTGCTCTTGCTAAGGAGCTGGATTTGGTTCCCAGCGCTCACATGGTGACTCACAGTCACCCTAAACCGCAGTTGCGGGGAATCAGACACGTCCTAATCTCTACAAGAACCAAACGTGCACAGACAAAGACTAGGGTAAAACACTCGTGCACAGACATCTTTAAAAATTAAAGTAAAATAAACGCTCGTGATTGTATTTAATTCAGGAAGACCTTGGAGGCAGATCATCAGCAATGAGGGAATCCGGGGAGGGAGAGAGAGAAAAAAGAAGGTGCAGGAGAGGCTGTTGCAGGCTCGGGGGAGGGGCGGGGTATCGCTTTGTACGGTCCTGTCCTGCCTGCAGCTTCCCCTGGGTCAGGGGACCACTTCTGCTCAGCCTGCTTAGGTGAGCGGTTCCCTCTCTTCACGTGACTGCATTCTAGCCGCTCAACCCTCAGCCTTAGAGACTATCTCGGTAGACTAGCAGTCTCCAAGGCAACCAGGCATGCTGAGGGGCCCTGGCTGAGCTTAGCGGAGACGCTGGGAGCTTCCACAGGGCAGGCATAGAGGTAGCCCCTCCTACCGTCCTTAGGCCTCTTCCCCAAAGCAGAGATGCTTTGAAGCGAAACGCCGAAATTGCCCAGGGACACCGGCTTTAATAACGGTGGCACATGAGGAGCTCTAAATCTTGAGGCTGAGGAATTAGCTCTGTCAAGGAGCATTTGCCTAGCAAGAACTAGATAAAGAATCACAAATCATGGGGCTTGGGGAGTTGGAGGACTTCCTGCTCTCTGTAGAGAACCGAGTTCAGTTCCCAGCACCCACAGGGTGGCTCACAACTATCTGTAACTCCGGTTCCAGGTGATCCAACGCCCTCTTCTGACCTCCAAGCACACCACACACACACAGCACACATACATACACACAGGCAAAACACAGACTTAAAGTAAATAAATGTATTGGGGAGGGTGTTTTTTTTAAGACAGGATTTCTCTGTGTAGCCCTGGCTATCCTGGAACTTGCTCTGTAGACCAGGCTGGCCTCGAACTCACCGAGATTCACATGCCTCTGCCTCCTGAGTGCTGGGATTAAAGGCGTGCAACCACCACCACCTGGCTAATAAATCTAATTTAAAAACCTCCTTAAACTGGGCCTAATAGCTCATCTCTGTAATCCAGGCTTCTCTGAAGACTAAAACAGGAAGATCAGAAGTTCAAGGATTCAATTTCTAAGTATAATTTCCCCAAAAAATTATATATACGTATATATGTACACACACACACACAGAGTAGAATTTTCCTTTAGGCCACCAGCTCCCAAATAATGACACAGAGACTTCTTATCAATTATGAAAGCTCAGCCTCTGGCTTAGGATTTATTTATTACGTCCCCAGGACTCTCCTTGCAGCCGCGGCGCCGATTCCGAGCTGTGGCGGCAGGAGTCATGGCTGGACAGGCTTTCAGAAAGTTTCTCCCGCTCTTTGACAGAGTGTTGGTTGAAAGGAGTGCCGCCGAAACCGTGGCCAAAGGTGGCACTTTGCTTCCGGAAAAATCTCAAGGAAAAGTATTGCATGCAACAGTAGTGGCTGTGGAATCAGGCGCCGCCAAAGGAAAGGGTGGAGCAATTCAGCCAGTCAGTGTGAAAGTCGGAGACAAAGTTCTTCTCCCAGAATACGGAGGCACCAAAGTAGTTCTAGATGACAAGGATTATTATTATTATTATTTTTTTTTTTTGGTTTTTTCGAGACAGGGTTTCTCTGTGTAGTTTTGCGCCTTTCCTGGAACTCGCTTTGGAGACCAGGCTGGCCTCGAACTCACAGAGATCCGCCTGTCTCTGCCTCCCGAGTGCTGGGATTAAAGGCGTGCGCCACCACCGCCCGGCGGATTATTTCTTATTTAGAGATGGGGACAATCTTGGAAAGTATGTGGACTGAAATCACTGTTGAAATGGCGTCACGTGAAGCTGCCCATTCCGCTGACGGTCTGAACTATTCATCACGTAAACAATTTCCATGCCTCCTTTTATAATAAATTGATGATGCCCAAACTAATGACAGCCACTGTCTCTGGAGTTTAGTTTCATTGTACTGTTATCAACATTTCCAAATAAAATAATGTAAATGAAAAAAATATATATTAATTATGCATGCTGCCTACAGGCCAGAAGAGGGCGCCATACCTCATTACAGATGGTTGTGAGCCACCATGTGGTTGCTGGGAATTGAACTCAGGACCTCTGGAAGAGCAGTCAATGCTCTTACCCTCTGAGCCATCTCTCTGGCCCCTAACTAGCTCTTACAACTTGAATTAACCCATATTTTCATTAATCTGCATTCTGTCACGTGTCTTTTACCTCAGTCACTCTCTGTGTGTCTGACACATCTAGCTGACTTCTCTGCCTCTCTTCTTCCCAGTCCTCTCTGTGCTTGGAAGTCCCACCTATAACTCCCTGCCTAGCTATTGGTCATTTAGCTCTTTATTAAACCGATCAGAAGGCACCTTGGCAAAGACATATCTACACAATGTACAAAAACATTTTTCCACAGCATATATATATATATATATATATATATATATATATATATATATATATGCAGCTGCTCTACCACTGAGCCACACCCCAGCTCCTCACTGGGGGATTCTAGGCAGGGGCTCTACCACTGAGCCACATCCCAGCCCCTCATCGGGGGTTTCTAGGCAGGACCTCTACCACTGAGCCACACCCCAGCCCCTCTACCACTGAGCAACAATAGACATTTCTTTTACACAGTATAAAGTTGTAGTTATATTATGGTTCCACCTCAGGCTGGGTGGTTTAAAACACACCCAGCAGAAATGATCAGGTGCTAGCAATTTTTATAAGAATATCAAATATGTGGGATTTTAATTTCTAAGTGGTATAGCCCCTGCCTAGAATCCCCCAGTGAGGGGCTGGGGTGTGGCTCAGTGGTAGAGCCCCTGCCTAGAATCCCCCAGTGAGGGGCTGGGGGTGTGGCTCAGTGATAGAGCCCCTGCCTAGACTCCCCCAGTGAGGGGCTTGGGGTGTGGCTCAGTGGTAGAGCCCCAGCCTAGAATCCCCCAGTGAGGGGCTGGGGGCGTGGCCCAGTGATAGAGTGCTGCCTTATATGTGACAAGGCCCTGGGTTGGTTTCAGTCCCCAATAATAATGATTGAATTTAATAACATTGAAAGCTGGTGTCTGCGCAAGAGTATGCCAGAGCATTATGAGCCTGTGGTGTGTGGTTTGCAGATGAAGGAACCTGAAGAAGTGAGTCGTTCGTTCTCCCTTCAATCTGAGGGTCACTGAGCTGGAGAAGAAGCTTAGCAGGGGAGATTCTGTCCCTTCCCTCTGTCTGCCTCAAGGCAGGACATAAACCCTCTGCCAGCAGGAGAGAGCTGAGCTGCCCTGGGAGCGAGCTGGGAGGAGTCAGCCAACCATCTCTCCCTCCTCCGTATTCTCATTCCATGCTTCCCTGATGGGGTCCCTGCCTGTCTTGTCTTGCTCTGATTGTTCTGGGGCCCAGGGTGTAGATGGCGGTAGAGCTGTTGCCTGGCATGAGTGAGACCCTGGGCTCCATCCACGAGCGAAAACAGAGACCTGAGGGTTCTTTGTTTCCCAAGTCCACAAAGTATCTTGCTTTGCTCACTGCCTTCGGGATTCCCTTTCTCACGAGGACCCCCAGACACGTAACTTTAAG